TATAGATATAGAGTTTTTCCTGTAGTGTTCTCCAGATTACGAACAATGCAAGAGCTTCCATAAGCCCTAGCTCCTCCCATAGACACTTCCCACTGATCATATTTGCTTAAAGTTCCAGTTGGTCTTTATCACCAGAATATGTAAAGAACTTTTACAACTCAAACACACACACACACACACACACACACACACACACACACACACACAAAGAACTCAATTCAAAAATGGGCCAAGGATTTGAATAGACATTTCTCCAAAGAAGATATTCAAATGGCCAACAAGCACATGTAAAGAGGCTCAACATCATTAGTCACTAGGAAAATGCAAATAAAGACATATCGTGGTGATCACATTGTAAGGTACATAAATGTAGAATCACTATGTGCTACCCTTGAAATGAATATACGTTGCAAGTCAACTATACTTTAATAAAACACATACACACAAGATGCTGCTTCTTCACACACACTAGGCTAACAAGCATTGACAAGGATGTGGAGAAATTGGAACATTTATATATCACTGGTAATAATGTGAAACGCTGTAGTCTCTGTGGAAAACAGTCTGGCAGTTCCTGAAAAAGGTAAACAGAGAATCCCTATATGATCCAGCAATTCCATGCCTATTTATATTATACCTGAGGATTAAAATAGCTGTTCAAACATTTGTATACAAATATTCACGGCCATGTTATTCATAATAGTCCCAGAGTTGAAACAACCCAAATGTCCATCAACTGATGACTGGATAAATGTTTAGTTTATACTATTCCGTTGTAAACGGAATTTATTTATTTATTCAGTCCTAAAAACAAGAATTAAATACTGCTACATGCTACAATGTGGATGAACCTTGAAAACACGTAAAGGGGAAATAACCCAAATATAAAAGGCCTCATATTGTATGAATCCATTTACATGAAATGTCTGGAAAAAGCCAATCCACAGAGACAGCAAGTAGATTAGTAATTGTCAGGATCCTGGTGGGTGGGGGAAGGGGAAAATGGGGAGTGGCTGCTTAATGGGTACAATTTCTTTTTTGGGGAGATGGAAATGCTGTGGAATTAGACAGTGGTGATGGTTTGCACAACCTTGTGAATGTGCTAATGCCACTGAATTGTACACTTTAAGTTGGTGATTTTTATGTTATATGAATTTTACAATAAAATAAAAAAATGAGTAGAACTATGATCCAATTCAGAAGAATGAAATATGAAGAGAGCTTTGCTAAGAGTCTCTGGGGGAATTCTTCCTGGCTGTCTGGGAGAGTTTCTGGAGGTTTTTCTCTTTTCTCCTCTGCCCGCTGTCATGTTTGAACGTCATACTGGGAACAGCTTCAGTCATCTCACCAACCCTTAAAAAAAACGGCGTCCGTCTATGGGGGAGGGTAGAAGAGGGTCACTTGCACGCAATTTCGCACTGTGTTCTGAATTAAATACTCCCCACTGAGTAGGTAGTTGAATTTCAGCCCGAGTTCTTCTTGGTCTGTGGTCGAGTGTTCCCAAGGAAGATGTTTTTTTTAAGAAGCTGTCTGCCCAGGGGAGCCCTTTCTCTAATTTTCTTGCAGTTACCATATATATTAGTGACAGCCCTAGGGCAATCTATGAGAATATAAAGAAAAGGAGCCAAGACACAGGTATAAGTCAGCCTTTAAAACTGCCTCCCACCTGGACTTCCAGTTATACAATTTCCTTACCAATAAGACCGTTTGATTTGCACCCCCCCAAACACCTAATCAATCAGGAGAGTTTTTCGTTTTGTTTTAGTGGAGGGAGAAAAGAATGGAGTGAAAGTATTAGTAACTCAGAGAGATAGCTGCCAATCTGACATGTCCCTCCAGCTTTCTTTGAAAAAACTGCCCAAGATCCATTTGTCTCCTGTAGCCCATGTATAGGCAAAACACATACTTAGTATTCCCTTTTTCTTTAAACCATTGATGACATACTACACAATGTCTATGAGACAGCGCTTTTTAAAATTTCTATCTATGCATCTTGCTGATAATTATTTGGTTGTTGGAAAAGTCATAATGTATTTTTTCTGTGTTTTTCGTTGCAAAAATGTGTCATGACTTTTCCGACAACCCAGTACATCTATGTCTATATTCATACGCGTATGTTTAGAGCTGCCTTTTCTTTGGGATACTGCATGCTATTTCACTTATGGCTGTACTTTCATTTACTTAACCAGCCCCCCCACAGATGATATTGGTATGTCCAGCAATTTTTTTAAAGTCAAGTTCATTGGAGTATACATGCAGTCAAGGTCACCCTTCTAAGTGTGCAGCTCTATGAATGGTGGTAAACATATGCAATCGTAGAGTCACAGCCAAGGTGGAGAACTATTCCATCACTCCACAGACCTCCCTGTGAACCTTCCTCGTCCGCCCTCTTCATGCACCCTCAGGCCCTGGCAACCGCTGCTTTGCTTTGTGTCCCTGTACATTGCCTTTTCCAAATCATCATAAATGGAATCATACAGGATAAAGCCTTTGAGTCTTGTTTCTTTCAATGCATTTGAGATTCACCCTTATTTTTGCGTGCATCAGTCATTGGTTCCTTTTTATTTCTGAGTGATATTCCATGGTACAGATACACTACAGCTGATTTACATCCGTTCACCAGATGGAAGACAATGGGTCGTTTCCAGTTGGGGCAACTATGAATAAATCTGCTCTCATTGCATACTGCCTTTTTTTATGGACATAAGTTTTTATTTCTCTTGGGTAGACACCTAAGAGTGGGATTACTGCGTTGGATGGTAAGTGTATGTTCGACTTAATTAGCAGTTGCCAAACTGATTTCCAAATTGAGTATACTATAATACTTTGTTTTCCCACCAGCAATAATATATACACCGTATTTCCCCATGTATAAGATGCACCCTTTTTAAAAAAACTTGGGGTCTAAAAACCGGGTGCGTCTTATACAGTAGTTGTAGATTTTTTTACTTGCATTTCCCGCTTTTTTGCGCTTGTTTTTGCACTCATTGTTGTAGTTTTTTTATGACACAGCCAGTTTTTAGACCCCAAATTTTTCACAAAAGGGTGCGTCTTATACATGGGGAAATACGGTACTTACCAGCATTTGGTATTCTCATTTTCAGTGGTTTTTCAGCCATTCTGGTTGATAGATAGATTTTGTCTTCTCTAAACAGTGCTACAGTGAATATGCTCATATACCTATCCATCATAATTAGGTGTGAATATGTCTGTAAGATGCATTCTTAAAACTAGCATTGATGGATCAATGGGTGTGAAGGGTTGATTACACATTACCAAACTACCTTCTGAGAAGGTGGGGCCGATTATCCGCCTACCTGCTCGGTATGGTAATACTCATTTCCTCACATCCTCACCAACATGACATATTACCCAATTTAAGTATATGCATTTAAATGAAATTTGACTTTAGATGATTGCTGTGTGAGCATCTACCTCATAGGGTTGTTGGTGAGGCCTTAAAGCAAAGCTTTTAGAGGAGTGCCTGCCACACAGAGTTGCAATGGCTGTTAGTTATTGTATGATCACCACTACTAATCAACCAACTACATTTTCATTTGCCTCGCTCTCTGAGTTCCTCATCAGTACCTTCAAGAGTGTTTTTCTCTGAAGAGCTCAAACATTCTACTTTTGGGATTTAGTTAATCCTTATAAATCTCTTCAGATGCTTGCCAGGAATTCAGGCACTGCGGATTTTACAGAATAGGAAAAGGTGACAGGATAGGACCTTTCTAAGGTTACAAATCTGTGTCCCACGAGATCAAAATTAATCTCCTTTGGAGTGGGAGTGGATCCCTCTAGGTCACAATGGCTTTCAAGTTTTCTGACTGCCACCCACTTTAAGAAATACACCAGGAACCACAACACACATTTATACGGGAAACAAAAGTTTCAAAAAACAACGCTTGTTTTCTTTTCTTTCTTTCTTTTTTTTAGCTGAGCCATCCTGCCACCTGTTGATAGCTCAGCTCAGGAATCGAACCGCTGTTGCTCAGAGCTCACACTCTTGAGCAAGCTCTTAACCAACTGAGCCACTCAGCCGGCCCAATACTTGTTTTCTATTTGCTCCATTCCATTTCATTGAAAATATGTTCGTTGGGATCCACTAATAAATAAATTTCAAAAGCTACTATTGGGTTAAGACCAGCAGTTTAAAGGGTATTGTTGTTACAGGACCTAGATCACAGATGTTGGCCTTCTGAGCAATAACAACTGGACTCATAGAACCTCACACTCAGTTTTGAATACATTATTCCCATGGTCCTTTTTCTTCATCTCCTTGGTATGCTAGAGCTTATTCATTCATCAGTTATGTTCACAAATAGCTCTTGGACTCCTTATGTGTACTGCCCAGGAGTTTTAAGCATCAGCAGAAGAGAATAGGATAGGCTTTGAAGAGCAAGAGGCCTGGATTCAAATCTGACCGCCACCATTTGCTGGAGATCTTGGTTAAGTCTCTTCAGTCACCCCACTCGTGTGTAAAGCATTCAGCACAGGGTCAGGCTCATAGCGAGTATTAATACAGTGGTTTTCAAGGTATGGTGCCCAGACCAGCAGCATCAGCGTTCTCTGGGAACTTGTTAGACCTGGCAATTCTCAGACCTCACCCCGGATTTACTGAATCAGAAACTTCAGAGGTGGGGTCCAGCAATCTGTTTTAATAAGTCTCCCAGGCGCTCAAGTTTGCGAATCACAGGCTTAACACATGGTAACTATTAACAATGAGTGCATGAAGTTGCAGAGGTGAGCAGCATCCGCAAGTAAAGAAAGACTCGGACCTGCCTCAGTCTCCACTCCCCCTCCCTCCTCCCTTAGCTAGTGCCTGCCTAGAGCGCTCGCTGATTGGGCCGATCGGTGGCTGGACAGTCACTACCCACCCAACCACGGAGGGTGTAAACTGAGAGGGGCGGGACTAGGCGCAGAGGGTGGGGTTGAAGGGTGGGGAGCCGTGCGCCTATTGGCTGCAGACCACGCCGCGGAGCAGGACGGGGCTGCGCGTGCGCACAGTCGAGGCGCGCCCCAGGCGGCCGTTGAAAATGGCGACTATCACCGAGCTGAAAGCTGGTGAGTGAGAGTGGGAGGCTTGCCGGTGCAATAGCGCCTGGCCTGCCACCTGTGAAAAGGTTGGGATGAAAGGAGGGCGCACGCGGAATATGAGCCAGCCTTTCCGGAGGGGGGAGGGGGTCGCTCTGCAGAGTCAGGGCCTGCGGAGCGTCCGGGTGGTGTGGCTGCTGCTGAGCCACGGCCCTAAGGGAAGGGGTGGCACAGGGGCAGTTTTTACACCGGCTTTGAGTTGGAGGAGTCGCAGGATCTGCAGGTACCTGAGAGGTCTTCAGCCTTGCACCTTGGGTCTCTGGAGCATTTTTCTGGACCCCCCCAACTCCCACCCTGGAGCTGTGGCCATGGGCTGGACCTTTTACTCGGCGCTGATGTTTACAGTACCCAAAATCATTATTGGTGTTAGGCGCAACCCTAAGCCATTTGCTTGGTTGCCTCCTTGCAGCCTTACAGCTTGACAGGTCGGTCCCGATTTCCCATCGGGAAAAACTGGAGGTAGAAAGTTGCCTGGCCTGGCCATTCTCCTGTCTCTTTTCGGAAAAGTTCCACAGAGGTGCGAGTCCTTAAGCTGGTAACATTTGTACCCCGCTGGTTTTGACGTAGGTGTCCAGACGGGTGGCAATACTACTAATTACAGTTATTAGTGATTGAGCCCTATGTGCCAGGCACTGCCCAACCCTTGCCTTATCTAATTGATTCTATGTAACAACCCTATGCCCGTTTCACAGATGAGGAAATTGGAGTGCTGAGACGTGCAATCGCGCGCCCAATTTAGTCAGAAAGAGGCCGAGTGTGAGAACTAGATACGCTGCACCAGGACTCCAGGCCTTCATCACTGAGTGATACTGCTGCCCGATTAATATCACCAGTTTCAGTTTTCAGGGCACTTGAGGCCTAAGCCAGCAATTAGAGATTTGTCAGGGAGGGGTGGAATCTCTTTGAGATGGTCCAGTAACCATGGGTATGAATGTGTGTGTTTGTGGCACTGGGCTGGTGAAGAATCATAAACAAGGCATGCCTTTATCCATAAGAACAAACTTCCCATAAATCAGTGAATCCTCTTCCCCAGGAAACACATGTCACACATAATACGACATACAACTTCAGAGGACTTAGATACTTAGGCATGTAAGCCAGGTTGAAAACCTCTTTCCAAACAAGTTGTTATGATACAGTGTTTTAAGATTCATAATAGAGGGAAGGGCAAAATGCTCTGGAACCCTAGAAGAACTGGGAATTAGGGATGTCCTACACAGATGTAGGGAGCCTTTTATGTTTTTTTCTGCATTTTCCAGTTCTGAATGTGCTTTGTGTTCAAGAGAAACCCAATCAAAATGTGTTTGCCCTTCAGTTATGTTTTATGAGCTTTGAGCTTTTTTTAAGAAGCTCTTTTCACATTTTTCCACCCACTTGGTTCTGCCTCTGGGAGGTAAGAATTCATATTGGAGAAGGCAACTGAGGCATGAGCTGGTGATCAACCACTGAAATGGTGATGAGATATGCTAGGTTTCCCAACCCCAGCTTCATTAATATCTCATGTCTCTGCTGAGTTTGAGTCTGTGCTGCGTGCAAACACAGAGTAATTGGGACAGGATCCTTGCCAGTGGAAAAACATCTCTCGGTCTAATTTCCAAAGATGGAATTAGAAAACGGGTTTGGTTATGATCCCAAGAATATGATAAGGCTAGTACCTTTTTATGGGCCTGTTACAAAGCCTGATTAGGTGAGAACTATACGTACTTATATACCTGCAAAAAGTTTGAGGGGATGAGTTAAAAATAAGGGGCAAGAAAGTTTAAGGTCTAGTCTAGATTGTATCTCTTTAATCATATGACATGTTTATAAAGCTTAAAACAATATTTATATTCTTGGGCCCCCTTTATGAAGTTTCATTATTTTGGTGTACTTATTTGGTGCCTTTGAGAGGGCACAGTACAGTATTAAACTGTATTTATTTTATCTAATAGTATACAGCACTGAATTATAATGCTCCTAGGTAGCATTTATTGAGCTCTTCCTATGTTCTAGGCACTGTGGGTGAGATGTGTTCATTCTCTGGCATTGTTATTTAGCCAGTAGGGACAATTTGAAAAAAGAAGGTACCAGACCACTGCAAGGGATGGTGCCAATTCAGCCCTAGGCCTTTACTACCCATACTAGTATTTATTGATTTAAATCTCATTATCACAACTATTGATATTTGTAATAATGACCCTTGCTCATCAAGAAAAAGTTAGGTCAGGGCCGGCTGAGTGGCGCGTTGGTTAAGAGCTGGCTTGGGACGCCAGAGGGCCCCGGTTCGGATCCCACATAGGAGGGCCAGTGACACTGCCCTCTGCAGCTAAGATGCTGAACAACAGCTCGACCTGGAGCTGGGCTGCCGTGACCGGCGTAGGCTGCAGCCCCTGTGGCAGTGAGTTGCCATGGGCTACCGTGTGTAGCCAGCAGCCAGTGTGAGCGGCCAGCAGCCGCAGTGAGCGGCCGTCCAGAAGCCGGCGACTGATCTGCCTCGCCCGGGAAGAGCGCAATGATGGTGCCAACTTGGGCCAGTGAAGCAACATCCTCCACAACTAGACTGAAGAACAAAACAACAGCAACTTGTCTGTTCCCCTTCCCCCGATTCCCCAGCGCTGTTCCCCTCCCCCAACTCCCCAATAAAATCTTAAAAAAAAAAAAAGAAAAAGAAAGTTAGGTCAGGAGAAGAGATCCAAGATAGCCGAGCAGATAAATACTGTGCCTGCGTCCTTCCGTGAACAAATTAAAATTACAACAGAATTATAGAACAGTCAACCAAGAGAACCATCTGGCTGCACAGAAGTTTTATAACTGAGGATATAAAGAAGAAGCCATGTGGAGAATGGCAGGAGGGTCGGAAACGCGGAACTGGCTGACCCCACACCTCCACATGGCGGTTGATAACCGGGAAGGTTATCTCGGCCCTGGAGGTTCCCCCCCATAGGAGCAAGGGACCCCAACCCTACACCGGCCTCCCCAGCCGTACTGGTGGTGGGAAGAGGAGCCCCCACAACACCTGGCTGTGAAAAACTGTGGGGATTCCAACCATCCAGGTGGGACTGAAGGCGGCGGGAAACCCAGGCATCCTCTTAAATGGCCCACACAGACTGTCTCACTTGCAGGCACTCACTCACCTTGGACTCCAGCGGAGGGACAGTAACTTGGGGGGTGTCAGAGACATACAGGGGGCAGACTGAGTTGTGTGGCTTCAGTATGAGGGCTGAAGGACAGTTGGCATTTTCCCTGTGAGGAGATCTCACCCCCGTGCAGCCGGCCTGCGGGCGCCATCTTTCCTGTGTTGAGCCCGCCCCCTACGCTTCCGGCCAAATCGGAACCTGATTGGCCCGGAGAGCTCTGCCCTGCTGACTCTGGGATCCCACCCCACCCAACTCGCCCAATGCCGGAGGCACTTTCTCAGGAGCAGCCAGCCCTGCTGGCATTGCACCCTCTCTTGGAAAACTATCAGCGTCTGACAGACCCCAGGTGGGTGGCGACTGGCTTCAGACTGGCCTCTTCGTGCTCTTGAGACTTTTGCTGAGTAGCTTCAGGCTCAGCACGGGCACCCAACCAGAATGTACATTAACCTGGTGAACACAATTCTTCCTATTGTCGTGACCCCACGAGACCCTGCCTCACCCAACTTGCATACCACAGGAGGCTTTATCAGGGGCTGAACCTTAAGGGAGCTGGCAGGTGGCAGCAGGCCTTGGGGTGTCCTGGCATTTTGCGGAAATATAAATTGGTTGTTACACCGTATTCATGGGGATGTGGGGTATTTCATAAGGAATATAGCCAATAATATTGTAATAACTATGTATGGTGTCAGATGGGTACTAGATTTGTTGGGGTGATAGAGGGGGTTGGGGGACAGGGTGTAAAAGGTGAAGGGAGTTAAGCACAAACATATAATAGTTACAGGATAGTCACGGGGATGTAAAGTAAAGCATAGGGAATATAGTCAATAATATGGTAATAGCTATGTATAGTGTCAGGTGGGTACTAGACTAGTCAGGGGATCATTTCTTAAATTACGCAAGTGTCTAACCACTATACACCTGAAATTAATATAAAATAATACTGAATATCAACTGTAATTGAAAATTTTAAAAGGGTGGAAAAGTGAAGGTTAGTATGAGGTTCAAGTTTCCAGGTATAAAACAAATAAGTCATGGGGATGTAATTTACAGCATGGGGAATATAATCAATAATACTGTGATAGCGTGGGACGGTGTCAGATGGTTGACGGACTTATCATGGTGATCACTTCTTTAGGTCTATAAATGTTGAATAATGATGGTGTATACCTGAAACTAATATAATGTAAGCTACATTTTCATATATATATATATATATTATTTTTTAAAGAAGTTAGGTTATATTCAGCATATATATCCCTGATTTTTTAAGATGGCAGTGATATACTCATGTTAGATTTCTAACTAGGCTTAAAATTTCAAAATCCTATTGTTTTAAGGAATTAACTTATCATTGTCTTTAAAAAACAAACAAAACCCAAAAAACAAAATCCACCTTTTTATACAGAATGGACCATTCCCTAAGGGTTCTGTATAGCAAAGATTTTTATATAAAAGACACAACACATTCCTTCCTTTTATATGTACTTATTATCTTTAATCGTCTTTTTTTCTAGACCAGAGATTTTTAGTGACACACACAACCTGCCTGTAGTGATAAACACTCGAAAATATACGAGACACTGGGGTTAATTTCAGGTCCCAGTATGCTGACTGTAGTTCTAGCCCCCCTTTTTCCTCACTGAAGAATGTATATCAGACTGTAACCTCTGCCAGCGACAATGTTGGAAGGATCAACTTGAATTTGCTTATACATAAAATAGTAAACCGCTGCAACTTGGGAACTTTATTTTTGTTACAAGCATGGCTTGTGAAATCTAATGTGACCATTGTTTAGATTGAAAGCTGCTGTTAGGCCATTTACCTTTTCAACATTTTACTTTAAAGTATGCCTGAGAACAACAAAACTTATTCCATCATTGAAGCATTTATGTTTTATATTTAACAGTTTTAAAGGACACCTTGGAAAAAAGGGGAGTATTAGGGCATTTAAAAGCGAGGATTCGAGCTGAAGTTTTCAGAGCCCTAGATGATGAAAGTGAACCACGACCGCCATTGTCTCACGAAAACTTTCTTATTAATGAATTAATTCGGGAGTATTTGGAATTCAACAAATATAAGTACACAGCATCTGTCCTCATATCAGGTAAGAGGTTATTGTTAGTCACCCGAGACAAAATCTGCTTCTTCCCTTCTGCCAATTCTAAGAAAGTCTTTAGCCTAGAAATCTAATTCCCTTATGAAACAGCATCATCTCAGTGGCTGGAACATAAACATCTCATGGGCTCTTTCCATAGCTTGAACAAGTTCTCATGAGGCTTATCATATTGTAGGGGTGTGCTGGTTTTTCTCCCCTGAACAGCACTCCATTGTATGGCTGTATCAATTTATCTGTTATCCGTTGATGGACATTTGAGTTGTTTCTGGTTTTTAGCGATTATGAATCAAGCTGCGTAAACATTCACGAAAAGTTTTTGTGTGAACAGAAGTTTTAATTCCTCTTGGTAAAGAGCTAAGAGTGGGATCGCTGAGTTGTGTATGGCAAGTAATGCTTACTTTGATAGGAAACTGCTCAACTGGTTTTCAAAGTGGTTGTACCATTTTGCTCTCCCACCAGCAAAGTATAAGAGTTCCAGTTGCCCTGTATGCTTGCCAACATTTCATTTTAGAGTTAATTTTACTTTTATAATTACTGCCACCAAAAGGATGTTGGTATTGTCATGTGTTTAATTCACAGGCTTCTCAGAAACAGACTTCTGCAGTCTAGGATTGTATGTAGTTCAAATGCAGAAACAGTATTTCCCCAGCCAAAAATTAGACTTAAAAAGTGACTTTATGTTAAACCATATTGTTATAATAGATATTTTGAAAGTCATTATAAAAATCATAAGTTGGATCTGCTATCATCATTCTTCCAAAATCTGAAACATGTGTAAACCTGGTAAGTGAGGTTCTTATCAAAATCATATTTACTTTTTAGATTAATAAAGACTCAGTGTTTTCATGGTTTTTTCCCCCCAGAATCTGGTCAACCTGTAGCTCCATTGGACAGACAATTTCTCATCCGTGAACTAAATGCATTTGAAGAAACAAAGGATAATACAATGTAAGAAGTTATTATTAATATTTTTAAATTAAGCTTCCCGATATTGTTGTATTAGAATCACCATCTCATCGTGGTGGTTTTATTTCTTGTTAATCCAGCAGGCATGTATTTGGGTCCAGTGTGTGTCTAGCACCCCACCAGATCCAAGGTGTGTAGCAGTGAACGAGTCGGAGGAGGCCTCTGCTCCCTGGAGCTAAAACCCCTGTGGCTTCAGACAACGAAGCACCCCCGCCTCTGTCTCAGGGGCACTCACACCGCATGGCTTCTTCATCCATCCTGTTTTTCTTCTGACACTTTTGCTCTATCAGTTGTTTCTTCCTCACATTTAACTGCTTCCTTTACTTCAACTTAGGGATGTACTCAGATCTCCCCTCTCCAAAAAAGCCTATCAACTCCGAACCCCGAGGTGCTGCTCCATCTCCTTTTTACCACTGAACTTAGTGAAAACCAACTCTCTGCTTTCATTACGCCCTCTTTTGCCCTTCCTGCATCTTAAATTCTCCCCTCACCATTTATACAAAACTATGCTTTTAAAAAGAAGAGTAACCACTTTCTAGTAGTTTCTTAGTTCTTTTCCTACTTTGGTGTTTCTTAAATTTTTCCCAGAGGATCCCTGAATGGCAAAAAAATTGTACGCAGGTGCCTGGGAACGTAGCTCAAAGCAGTCTTCTCCTAGCAAGAAACACACATACACAAACACACACATTTACAATTTGAGAATTGTATTTATTTCTTTGTATAAAATACATTGTATTGATCATTGTATAAAACTCAGTTTTGTTTGAGATTCTGCAGCATTTTGTAACATTGACTGCTCTTCCTTAAAACACATTTTATTGTTTGTCTTGGTTTTCCTATCTCCCTAATGGTGTTCTCAGTTTCTTCATTGGCTCCTTTAGGGTTCCTTTAAATTGTGGGCACACCCCAAGTTCCGTCCTTTTCTTTCCTTCTTAAATTTAAGAAAAGCATGAACAGTTTGCAATTTGGATAAAACCCCCATGCAACTTTTTTCTTTTTATTTCTAGTGAATTACTTGGCTATTTTGGGGTCAGAGGCTACCTTGTAAAAACAGATGTTTGAAGCTTTTCCTGTTTATGCAAATTTAATTGATTTTAGTTTTCTTTTGCCATAGACCTCTTTTATATGGGATTTTAGCTTATTTCTTGCATGGAACTAACGATGGCATCCAAAATACATTTCTGAAAGGATCTTCACGTCAGCCTCCGAACTCAGATGTGGGTGGACAACCTAGTGGAAGCAAGGAAATGGGTATGAGTTTGCTGAGATTTATCATTTAGCTGTCAGCAAGTATATTTTCGTCCTATATACTTATATCTGTGGAGTAGTTTTTCCTGAGCTTTTGCATCATAGCCTAAGTCCACTTATATCTAACATAGTCTTAGCCTGTGTTACTTAGCCTCCAAAAAACTAAATGCTTTATGGAAAGAGAATCTTGCAGGGAGACGGGTGGATGACAGGACAACATTTTTAGGTGTCATTTCCATATAGAAGTATTTAAAAACCTGATTTTTATGTAAATTTGTACTTTCTGGAGCAGCTTAGTCCTTAGCATATTGAATAAATAGTTTTGGGGGCTTTTTTTTATCAAGTTATCATGCTTTTTTCTCTCAAAGACTGAAAAAATGCAAGATTACTGAATACAGATAGAGAAGTCAAAGGCTTGTGTGTCCTTTATAGCTTCAGGATACCTCTTGTAGGTCTCTACAAATAAAAAAACCTTAGGAGAATAGCCCATATTTCTTTCAGAAGGCGTCCTCTTTCAGTGAGCTTTCAATTGTTTGGATTACATCAGCAACAGGACCTCAATTTGATCATCTGAACTGAATGGTTTAGAGCTCAGTGTGTCCAGCTGTGGGAGAGAGTTGATCTCTTTAAGAAGTGCAGTCAGGTGGGGCTCAGGCAGCTGATGATCAGAACAAATATGAGATCAACATTCGAATTGCTTTTTGTAGTTTTCCTAAACTGCTATGAGCAATATTGATTATGTTAAATATTTGCTGCATCCAGGATAACCTTTTGGAGGTTATTTTCGACTTTGCACAGGGTTATCCTTCTATATATCTTAGAATTCTGAACTGGATGGAATACTAGAAATGAAATCATTCCCAGCTACTTACTTTATAGTTCAGAAAACCAAGACTAAGAGGTTAAGTGACTCATCCAAAGCATAGCTGCGCATTTTTAGCAGCATTGGCACCTCTGATTGCCATTCCTGTACACTTTTCCATTTAAAGAATATGGGGTTTTCCTTGTTCCCTTTTCAGGGACTGGGTAATTTTTCTGATTTTAGTAGGGAGATGTAAACGGTGCTAGCTTCTTGCCACAAGAGGGTGCTGCTGGGAGGCATTTCTATTTGAAGAAAGATAGGGTTTCTTTTGTTTGTTTGTTTGTTTGAAGAGCTTTGGCATTCCTCAAAATGCTAATTGAACACCCTGTCCTTTCTTGGGAATTATGAATTACATAAGAGAAGTTTGTAGCTATTTACCCCTGGCTTTACCCCAGGGGATGCTCTATTCACTTAAAAAAAAAGTCAAACATGTTTTAATAAATAGAGTGAGTTCCTAGTACTAAACATTTGTGATTTCTTCCATAGTGTTTAAAAAGTAGTGAGTTTTTTCCATTGTCCTAAGCCATCGAAAGAACTCATACAATATTAAATATGTAACCTCCTGAAATATATGTAACCTTGTCTGGCTGGCTACTGCCTATTTTAACTTGGGACAAGTATTGATATTCATTTCTGTTCATTTCAGATGACCACCCAAGAAAGGAGAAGGGGAAAAATACTAATAGTAAAGATCTTCATATTTCTCAAGCTGTGAAGAGATGACATTTCCACTTGGGGCGTCTTTTATCTTAAAATTGTATGTACTGTATTAAATAACTTATATATATGTTCCCAATGTTACCGGAATGCATCACCAATATTTGTACTTTGTAGAAATATGAGTTTCTGCAAAACATTTAGTCCCTCATGTTTTACTGCATTTGTGAATAAAAGCTAACTCTCACCTAGCTCATTGGATTTGACTTGAAAGAAAATACTGTTTGTAGGAAGTATTTTAAAGGTCCTTAAACTTGTGAGAAATGGAAGGGTTTTCAGTACCCTGTACATTAAAAAAAAAAAAAATCAGGTCTTCATAGCCATATGCTCTGCTCTTTAATATGGTAGAGTAATTAATTTTCTTCAGACTGGAATTAGGTGGGTTTGTAGGAAAATTCATTCTTGTTTTTAAATGATATAAAAGAACACCAAATTCAGAAAAAAATGTAATTTCTATAAAGTTTGATTTTTTTTTTGATTAGCTGTTTTTCAGATAACCATTTATAATTAGATTTAAATATCTGAATTACTATCTGAAGTTGCACTTTTAAACGAGGCAACAATATACTTTTTCTTTCCTTAGACCATTTTGGCTTCTACTGGAAGATTTAATTAAAAGGTAGAAGGGGAACCAATGCTTTTAATTTTGCTGTACATGAAACAAAGAGTTTATTTTATTACATGAAGAATGTGGAATCAGCATGAAGAGACAGGCTTTAGGAGAAATACCAGAAAGTACCTTTTAAAAGATGGCATTGTTTAACTTCTACATGCCCTTCGCTTGTTCTGTTACAGGATGGGCTGTGAAAGGACCGATCCCTACTTATATGGGCTCAGACAGTCTTATTAAATGGCAATTTTTATTCTTGGGATGGAAACACAGTAAGAGCTCTTCTAGTGCTCTCTCTAAAAACATGCTACTTTGATATTTATTAAGACGTTTTTATAATGTGGAGTCTACAAACTGATTTGGCAGAAAACTGACCACTACAGTGGACAGTGATTGGGAAAAATCATAAGGTATATTCAGAACAAAACTGCCTGGGCGCCTGTTTTCCACAGGGAAAGGGATGAGGCTGTAATTGGCAAAATTAGCATTCTCTTTAGGGTACTGATTCTGTGCTACCTTTGGAAATTATTGAAACTTTTGATTTTGTATTTGATGCTAGCCAGTGTTGCGTCTATACAGATTAACCAAGAATTTTTATTTGAATACAGAAAGTTATTAAAGAAATCCCTTTAAACCATACTTTATAAGTAAAAGGCTTTTGAGAGGCTAAAAGGACATATTATTAATATATAGATGCAGAAGTTTTTATAAGGGCTCATTTTCATTTTTTTAAAAATGAAATCTGTAGTATCCGATTATAATAATGAATTCTATTGTATGTGGGAATATAAATATCTAAATTCTTCTCAGAGGACTTGGTTTATGTCCAGAGATGTTGGCAGTGGACGCTAAGTTTACCTCAGGAATTGCAATCATGCAGAACTAGATTAAGAAAAAAATCCTGGAGTTGAGCATTTTGTACACTAATATAAAATTATCAAAATAGAAGTGAAACAGCATTGTCCCATGTCCACAGTGCTTTTGTATGCGTTATTCTGGAACTTGTTTGTACCTGGGCAACTTTTATACTTTTGATGTATATTTAATAAAAAAACAAAAACAAAAAGAAACATTAAGCAACTCACCTTTGTGCAAAGGGTGTTCGTATGAGTGTTCTGTCATCAAAGATGGACGCCAAACCCAGAAGAATTTTGGGAGATGGCTCTCCAGGCCTTCTGTCAGGGTCTTCAGCAGCCTTGTTGTTGGAGAGCATGGAGGAAGGTTGAGGAAGGGGAACGTTTTCTGACATATGTGCACGTGGCATAAGCCCTCTCACCCTGGAACAATCACTTTTCATGCAGTGGCAATGGTGGTGGCTGGTGGTGGCATTCTCTGGGGGACAGTATCATACTCTATGGGGCTATGTGTGGTTCAGAAAGCATGTTTACTATTACATTTTTACATTTGGAAAAGAGCAAAACACATTTTCAAAATACTGAGATTTTTATCATTATCCACCAAGAAGGATCTTGGGCTGAGAAAATCTGCTCTGGAAATTTCTATACTCAGGATTTTTGGACAGTGTCAATTAATTTGTAATCCAGTAGTTTAAAAAGGTACATGGGCTGAGACATTAAAAAAAAACAAAAAACCTCAAGGAAAGAAAAGGCAAATATTTATATAGAGGACCCATCAAACTATTTTCATAAAGTCACAAATTAGTACATCATTACTGGTGGTTTTCATGGGTTGTTGGGAGAAGTTTTAGGAGAAAACTTGGATTTACACACAAAGAAAAACAGGATGGGAATTGGAACTGAACAGGGATTTAGGAAAAACGGAAATTTAAAACTTGGACAATCTAAAAAAACTCATAGCATGAACAGAGGTGGCTTTTGAAGATGATAAATTTAAACTTAGCGTATATGTTTGCATAGAATAAACTAATAGCTTTATAATTATGTGCAAGAATATTTGTATATGACTCAAATGCCTGTATGATTATGTAAAATCTGATATATTCTTTTAACCTAAAGCCAAGTGTACACAACGGATTTGTGAGAATATACCTTTAAAGGCATTTAGGACAATCTTCCCAGCCCTTGGTATTTGATTTTTGTAATAACTTCTGCAAGGATTGTGTGGTCTTCATTAATTTTTTAAAAAAGGAAAGCAAGGTAAAACTACCTTTTTTTAAAAAACATAGGCTTTGTTTTTTAGAGCAGTTTTAGGTTCACAGCAAAATTGAGAGGAAGGTACAGAGATTTCACCTGTCGCCCCTGTCCCCCCCATACAAGCACAACCTCTTCCACTGTCAGCATCCCCCACCGGAGTGGGACATTTGTCACAACAGATGAACCTACATTGACACATCATTATCACCCAAAGTTCACTCCCGGTGTTGCAATTCTATGGGTTTGAACCAATGTATAATGACATGTACCCACAGTTATGGCGTCACACGGAGTAAGTTCACTGCCCTAAAAATCTCTTTGTTCTGCCCATTCATCCCTCCCCTCACCCGCTGGCAACCACTGATCTTTTTACTGTCTCCATCGTTTTGCCTTTTCAAGAATGTCATATACTTGGAATCATACAGAACGTAGCCTTTTCAGACTGTTTCTTTCACTGAGTAATCTGCATTTAAGGTTCCTCCATGTCTTTTCATAGCTTGATAACTCATTTATTTTTAGTGCCAAATAATATTCCATCATCTGAATGTACCGCAGTTTATTTATCCATTCACATTCTGAAGGACGTCTTGGTTGCTTCCAATTTTGGGCAATTATGAATAAGGTTGCTCTAAACATCTGTGTGCAGGTTTTAGAATGGACATACGTTTTCAACTCATTTAGGTAAACCCTAAGGAGCATGATTTGCTGGATCATATGGTAAGACTATATTTAGTTTTGTAAGAAACGGTAAAACTACTTTTACTGAGAATTTTAGGACTCTTCCCAATAGAGGTAGAGTTACCAGGAGGTAGAGTTCCCAAGACACAGAGTTGGAAATTGGTGATGAAGGAAAGAGCACTGCAGGTTACTGTGCAACGTGATCTTGTACCTGGAGAAGAAGCACGGGGCCATCAGGAGTGACACAGAAGTGCTTCTGTGCAAGAGAGTAGGAACTGAGCAGTTCCTGTGGTCAGGAGTGGTGTCCCTTTATTCACAAGGAGGCAGAGTCCTGTGCAAATCTTGGGCTGGATGACTTGAGTACTGATACACTTTGAAATAATTAAACTGTGAAGCACATGCTGGAGTAAACCATGTTTGGACTGGATCTTTAACAGTATTAAAAACTAGAGGGAATTACACTTTGGAGCTTTTTGAAGCCAGTAGCAAATACAAAGCTATTTGATGAAAAAAAAAAAAAAAGACTCCAAGAGAGAAATTTCCCCTCTGCCATCTTGTTCCATGAGTTCATGGAAACTCCCATTAACATGGCGCCTCACAGAAAAGACATGCCAAGGAAACTTCCTGACAGTGCTCAGTCAAAATAACATCTTTTAAAAGTAACTTTTTGTTTCCCTCAGTCTTAAAATAACTGGCTTTTTGAGCCATGGGAAATAAAATGAGGCATCTGATTTAATTACAACAATGCGCTTTTGAAGATTCAAACATCTGAGCCTCTGCAATGGATATTTATTGAATGACTGTTATGTGCACATACTGTCCCCGAGTACTTCTAGAATATACCAGCAAGGTATGAAATGCTTCATATAAGGCCTTCACATGTCACATTTAACAAGCCAGTAGGGAGTTGAGGCAAAGATTCTGACCATCTGTGCTTTTCTTTGAGGAGAAAACCCAGGCTCAGAGAGGTTCACTGACAATTCTGAAGCTGCCTGGCTGGTGCTTAGCAGATCATGAGTTAAAAACCTCCGACTTTTCACCGGACAGGCGGGGTTGGATTCCTGCCCCGTCACTAATTAGTTGTGCTACCCTGGCTGGTTGTTTAACTCCCAAACCTCATTTCTCAACAGCAATGTGGGAAAAAAAAATTTTTAAGTACCCACTTGATAGGGTTGTTAGAAGGATTAGATGAGATAATGCAATCAAGTTCAGTGCATGGTCACCAAGTTCTTTAACAAATCAAATGCAACCCCTTTGAAAGCGCCACTGTTAATGCCTCTGACAGAAACGCCACCTCCTCCTCTGAGGCCAGCAAGTTGGATTCTGACCGCCTGCTGTGGGTTATCTTTCCACGATGGGAAGGTGGGGATCAGCTTGAGTTTTCCCCCTTCCATTTTTCTCTGCTCCACGGCATTTCTGTGCTAATGCAGCGACAATTTCCACTCCTTTTACAGTCTAGACATTACAAAGCATGTGTGGAAGCAGCCCATTCATCATTTCTGAAGAACTTTACCCCTAACTTCCTCAGCCAGTTGAATTACTGTCCCTTCTTAACTTTCAATTTAGGCCCTTTGGGTGCCAGGGGGTTAGGCTTGGGTGTTTTTAGGGGTGAAGAACAGGTGAGCTTGATGATGGAAGGATGAGGAAGGGACCAATACGGTCTGAGATGCAGAGCTCTGTGGGGGGGACTGGGAGCCTGCAGGGACAGGCTGTCACTCACTGTTATGTCCCCAAGGCCTGGCGCAACTCTACTTGGTTTCATGTTTGTGGAGAATAATAGCTAACAGGAAACAACGTAAAACGTTCATTTTACATGGGTCATCTCAAAGACTGTTTACCATCGGCCACGAATAACTGATGTCCTTCCCATTTTACAGGCAGGGAAACTGAGGCACAGAGCGTTCAAGTGACTTACCGATGGTCACAGCTACGAGTAGAAACGGGGCACTGGCAGCTTCAGTCATCTAATCTCAGGGACCTGGTCCTGGCCACACAGGCCAGCTCTCCTGAGCATCTCCCTCTAGAATCCCCCTGGAGGTGAACCATGGCCATGGTGGGTGGGCTCCAGTCCCAGTGAGAGCTGGGGCACTCTCTTCTGGGACCTCATTTTTCTCACCTGCAAAATGGAGGTATTAATAAAGACCCCACCATCACCTGCCTAGTTACCTGGGGGAAGAGTTTGTGAAATAATACGGGGCGTGTGGCAAGCCAAACCCTGTGGCTGGAGGTCGCTGAGACCCAGCGTGGGACGGGGCTCTGCGCCAAGCAATGGGGTCCCTTTCCCACCCCGCTGGCCTCGCGCAGCCGCCAGATACGAGAGGGCTTGGGTATTCTGGGGGGGGAGAAAACCAGGTGAGCTTGATGTTGGAAGGATGGGGAAGGGACCCTTGAAGAGGGTCTTCGATGCAGCGTTCTCATCTGCGGGCCCCTCCCGCGCGCCCCCCCGCGCCGGAGACCGCTCGACACCATATTTAGTCAGGGGGAGCGGGCAGCCCCGGGCTGGTATGCGGCGCTGGGAATTCCGCTGGAAGGAGCCCGCGCCTGCCCTTTTTGGGTTGTCTCCCGCCCGCTGCACCCGGGGAGGGAGGACCGGCCGGCCGGGAACCTCGGAGCCCACGCCGGGAGGGGAGCGGGGCGCCCCGGCTACCCGCGGGTCTCCGGCCTGGCGCGGGGCCAGCCCACCGCCTCCGCTTCCTTTTATGGCCTGTGTGCGTGTGTGTGACCGCGGGGAGAGAGATGCGGAGAGGACGGAGAGCCAGAGACACAGACCAGAGCGAGCGAGACGTGAGAGAGAGAGAGAGAGAGAAACGGTGGTGGAGAGGCACAGTGCCAAGCACACAGGAGACAGAAAGACGGACCTGGGGATAAGGGAGTGGCACTAAGAAGGAGGGAGGCAGGGAGTAAAATTTCAGGCAACTTCTTCGTTTGCAGACTTGCTCGGGGCAGGCAGGCAGTAGCCCTTGAGGGGAGCCGCGTTCCTCCTTGGATTCTGACACGCACCTTGCAAATTCCAGTACATAATTTCCACGTATGTTTCAGCTCAGAGACCGGAGGAGGGACATGACTGAGCTGAGGTCACACAGCCAGCGACTGGCACCCCTAATGCCTCAAGTCACAACGCCAGATTTTATTTTTTCCCCCCCTCCTTCCTGGTGGGTGTAGGTGGGGATGGCAAGTTGGGAAAAATAAAAACTTCCCCTTCCCGCACAATTCCCAGCAGTCGGGGCCCCCTGCCTTGCACTTTGCAAAGTTCAAAAAAATCCCCTTTCCTACCCTTCATGCAGCGCGGCCGGACCCCTTTCCAGACCGCGCGAGGTGAATGAGGTGCCCCCTACAGTTCCTCCCAGGGGGAGGAAGCGGTTGAAGCCCGTGTGGCCTGAACGGACGCAGCAAAGCAATTCTCAAGCATACCCCGTAGACACTGGCCGCTCAACGTCTCTCTCTAGGGACCCGGAGTCTCGGTGACTGTCCCGGAGCCAGGGCTGAGACAGAACGCTTCTGGCGGGAGCACCCCTGAGGGGAGCCTCCGCGTCGGCCCCTGCGCGCTCGCCCCAGGTGCGGCCTGGACCAAAGCCCCGCTTCTCCGACCCTGCAGGGGGCGCTGCCAAAGGAGCGGCGTGAGACCCTCCCCGGCTCCGCCTTCCTGGACCGCCTCCCACTTCCCACCCGAGGGCAGCTCCGGGTCTATAAAGAGAGGCGTCCCGGGCGAGCGGGGGAGACTTGGACGCCACTGCCTGGGAGGTGTGCCAGACCTGACCTCTCCACCCAGCTCATTCTCCGTTATCTCCCCGCTTGGAGGTCTGTGAGTAGTCTGGTCCTGGTAGGGGGAAGGGAAATGGAGGGAGGATGGGTTAAGGGCCTTCCAGGGCACCCTACAGGGGCCGAGGAGCCGTGAGGTGTCTCTATTGCCGTCCTCATGAAGACTATGGTGAGAGGGTAGGGGTTCACAATTTTTATTTCTCTCCGCCCCGTCGCCCCAGATTTCCGCCAAACCAGCATCTCCCAAGGTAGCCAGTAAGTACCACTATGGGGGGTTGGGAGGAGTAATTATGAAAGACGACAATGCCTGGGCCCAACTCCGGTTACATGAGCACCTCCAGAAAACCTGTAAAAAAAGTAAACAGAGCCCCAGGTGGTTCTTGTTATGGGGCAAATCCAGGAGATGAGTTTCCTTCCCCATCTCAGAGGCCCGGCTCCGACATCGCGGCGTCTCCACCCTTTATTCTAGGTACAAAACAGGTGCAGCCGAACTCACAGAAAAGTCATTTCTTATCACATAGGCAGGTCAAGTGTCGCTGCACGTGGATTTGGAAGCTCAGCTTAGTTCTGCTGATAATGTATTCATTGCCTGAGTTAAAAACACGTGGGTACATGCTCTGCAGAGAGGGCAGTGTTTTTCCCTCCGTCCAGAGGATGGGCTTGTTGATAATCCTGGAGAGAGAAGGCTGGTTGCGATCCAGTTCATTTATGACAGCCCAGTTTTCTTCCAGAATCCCTCCCTCCAAAGTTTAAAAAATCTCATCCGGGTCCTCAAACACCCACCCGGATGACACAGCCTGCCTTTGCCTCCATGATTTGCAGGTGCAATGGTGCAGGATTCCACCAGGATTTCCTGCCCAGCAGGCAGTGCAAAGTTACTCTCACGCCCCACAGAGGGGCAAAGTGAGAGAAAGTGTGGCTGCTGCGTGTTGTAAGATTTTTCTCCCTGCACAGAGAGCTGGTGGGGATTTTGCTGCTTGAGGAAAGGCATCCTTCAAAGCCATACTTGTCAAGAAGTAAAAGGAAATATTTAGAAACCCGAGACAGGGAGTGATTACAGTATTAAGAACTGATCGATTACGTTGCAAACTGGCTAGGGTTTGGCGCAGGGAAGGCAGGCCGGCTGTTAGCACACTGTTTTGTGTAGTGTTCTGTTGGGTGCAGTCTTCTTGGTTGGTTTAGTTTCTTTAAAGCTCCCATTTTAGAATTTTTACAGCGAGGGAGCTTGAAGATGCTGAACTGACTGGCAGTCATTAGATGGCAGTGTGTAAAATGGGATATTGAATATCCGTGAAAGGAAAAGCAGCCTTTCCTTGCTGCTCTCCCACTGAGGCCAATGGAGCACTTCTGTGCCAGGCACTGTAGCAGTGTTTGACTTAATGCATCTCATTTAATTATTGCAACCACCGTTTAAGGGAGGCATTATGATGCCTGTCTAGTACACAAGGCAGCTGAGGCTCAGAGAGGTTAAGCAACTTGCCCGGTGTCACACAGCTCACACAAGTGGCAGAACCCATTCCCGGATCTGTCTGATGCCAAATCTATACCCTTGACCCCACCATCTTTTTTTATTTACCTTAAACAATAACTCTGTTGGAGTCAGGTTTCTGGTGGGACCAAATGCTTCCAGGAAGGCACATGTTTATCATCTTCTCTTTGAAGAAAACATAAACTGACCTTTTGCAAATATAAAATAAAAGGCACTGTTTGTCCCTGGACGGCGTGGTCATCAACTGGCCCGATGACCTTTGGTGGGCTCAAGAGTCCAGAACGTGAACTAGCTGGGCCTTCCTCGAGAAGCTTCTGGGGCTTGCCCTGTAAACACCATGTTTTTTTTATTTTTATTTTTTTAAATTTTGGTGTCTGAAATGGACATATTATTCCGTACAAGGTACTTGTTATCATTACTTTTCCGTGTGAGAGCCGAGATTGAGGCAAACATGCCCATTTATGGTAGCGTTTTCCATGAGGCCATCCCCAGCCCCCTCACAAATGAGCCTGGTAGTACAGCTTTGTGGGTCGGGACTCTGGGGATATCGCTACCCTTGTCCTTCTAGTTCATGCCCGGAAAAAAAGTCATTTGGGACGAAAGGGGATTTCTTTTTCCTGCTCTTCTTTGCAAGTTTTAGTTTTTGGAGGTGGAGAGGGAATTGTCTCCTTTCCTCAGTATGATGGACCCAAACAGGTGGATTTTGTGCTTTCGGCACAACCGTGTAATTCTCACACCAGAGATACACGTTAGATTTTTCTGGAAAACCCCAAGTCCAATTTTAAATTCATTGGCATCCTAGAGTGTCACAAGCAGATTTAGAAATCACCCACATTGGCCTTTCCAAACCTCAGTTTTGCCATCTGTAAAATGGAGCTAGTGAGAACAGCTAATGCTGGTTGGCACTTTGGCCAGACGACGTGCTGAAATCCTTTACAAGCACCCCGTTACTGTCTTTACAACAACCCTTTGGAGCAGATGCTGTTAGGATGGGCCCCATTTTACAAAGGTGGACTCTGCATTAACTTGCTCAAGATAACTAGCCAATGAGGAAGACAAAATTCGACAAAGCTAGTTCTTTCTAACTCCGGAGCCTACGGGAGGGAGTACCCCATTGGGAGGATTGACAGGGATGATGTGTGTAAAGGGCTGAGCGCAGTGCCTGGTCCCTCTCACCTTCAGTGGTTGGTTATTTACAACATCCATGACCAGAGACCTTAAGGGCTTTGCTCAATGCGGCACAGCTGGTATTTGGCAGTACCAGGAAGCCTATTGTGTGGTCTGTCCCTAAAGAAGAAATGTGTCCCTGATTTTCCTTTTGTGTCATTAATCTCTTTTCGTAAATCCAATCCTTACTCGAGCTAAAAATGGCGCTTAGAATCACCTGCTTTACTATAGCCATACCTGTGTCAGGAATATTACAAGTTCCGGGTCTATCGGCCCATTTGTGACTTGTTTAGGGTCGCAAAAGCATCCTTTAAGAGCTTCCAGCTATGAGTGCAAGATGAAGGTCTGGCTTTCAGAGTGACCCTTCTGCTCCCCCGGGGTCTCCTATCTCCACCCCTTACCTTTAAACACGTTTAACTGTGGCCACACGACGGAGGAAAGGCCGAGTTGGGAGAAGGCCAAGCAGGAATCGGAAGGCTCTTTCGTGTGGGATCAGATGGTCCAGGAAGAAGCTAGTGTTGCCCGCTGTATCTGCAAGGAAGCTGGGTAGCTCTGACTTAGGTCTGCGATTCAGGGGCTGGGGAGGGACAGCCCTCATTGAGGTCCTAGGACAGGGCAGAAGGACTCGCCACCGGCTTGCTCATGCAGGCTTGAGCTCCCTCTCCTCCGCTGGTGAAGCACGCAGCCAGTGACAGACACTCGGAAAGGGCCAGTATCTGAGACCACTGGGGTTCTTAGAGCCATTCCCCAGTCCCCAGGACAGTGCCTTTCGCCCTGGTCCCCCTTTCCTCCTCCATTTCTCCCCATCTCTAGATGTGATCAGGTGAACGTATTCTTGTGCATCTTTCTGAAAACTTTTCATGTCACATCTTCCTTTTTCACACAAATATTGGCATTCTTTCTGTAAATTAAGTTTTTTTCCCCACTTAATGACGTACCTTCAACCTCTTTCTGTGTCAGCACATTTAGGGGTTTTTTTTTTCTTCTTTTTATCAGCTGCATAATACTCTGTCATATGGAAGTATACCTTCTTACTGAAACAACCCCTTCTTGAAACATACCAGCTTCACTGCACCATTTCTTATAAACGGAGCTCCAGGGAACATCCTGTGTATCTATTTTTGTTTAATGATAGAGTTTATCTGTAGGATAAATTCCCAGAATGCAATTGCTGCGTTGAACAGCAGGCACATTTAAAATGGATTGACATTGCTAAACAGTCCTCTAAAGACACTAAATTTAAGCTTCTAATGGTCCCTTATGAGACTTTCCATTGATTTTTTTTTTCAATTTTATGGGGAACAGTCTGTTTTTCCAGGACCCATCAGCTCCAAGTCAAGTAGTGGTTTCAATCTATTGTAGTTGTGGAGAGCGTTTTTTCCAGGACCCATCAGCTCCAAGTCAAGTAGTTGTTTCAATCTAGTTGTGGAAGGCATTTTTTTTCCAGGACCCATCAGCTCCAAGTCAAGTAGTTGTTTAATTTAATTGTGGAGGGCGTTTTTTTTTTTCCAGGACCCATCAGCTCCAAGACAAGTAGTTGTTTCAATCTAGTCGTGGAGGGCATTTTTTTTCAAGGACCCATCAGCTCCAAGTCAAGTAGTTGTTTCAATCTATTTATGGAGGGCCCAACTCAGTGGCCCATGTGGGGATCAAACCAGCAACCTTGGTGTTATGAGCACTGCACTCTAACCAGCTGAGCTAACTGGCAACCCTTATGCATTTTAAGCTGTGCTAGGCCAGAGTTGTAAGATACAAAATACAATGGGGCTTTGAGGGTCTGAAATGACCAGTTTTCTCTGTCCCCAAAGCATTCTCTATAGGAGCTACAGTACCTCTTGCTAACCAAGCTCTCTTGGTAGGGAGGAAAAAATAATTTAGCTTTACTAATTAAAAGAACTTCCTTCCGGAGTTACTTTAAAAACAGTTGGGATTCCAATGAGTTAGGCAGATGCCACCCTGAAGTGGCAGGGCCACCACTCATCTTTTTCCTGGTGGGTGAGGTCAGGCTTGCTTGGGACCCTGCCCTCGTGAGATGGGGGAGTGGCAAGGGGACCAGGCCATGAAGCAAGGAAGAAGTTTTCTGCTACGAGGAGATCAGGTGTCAGACAGAGCTGGGTTCAAATCCTGGCCCCAACTTTTACCAATGAAGGCCTTTCGTTTACTTTTCAGGACCTTTGGTACTATTATAGGAATAATAAGTGGTGCCC